ATATATATATATATATATGTACCAATTCTGTTCCTGAAACGAAAACACTTACAATTAGGTCAAGGAGCAGGTTCTGGACTATCAAGAAAGAGCTATATTGTATCGCGAGGCTGGAAAACATCTTCCACAAAAATCTTCTCTGGTAAGAAAATTACGTAAGAGAAATTGTTTTCCCTCCTTGGATTTCTCTCTCTTTCTTTCTCTCTGTCTCTTTCTCTCAGTATATACAGACGACACTGCTTTAAAAATGGCTCCTCGGGATATTCAATGAATTTTTTCGTTATTCTGAATCACATAACTCGGTTCGATCCATAATCAACTACGTAACGACATAATCTACTCAAACCACTTCCAACTCAAACACGGTCAAACTATTCAGCTAAACTCAAGACTCGCCGTCCGCAACTTCGAGACGAATTAGTCGTGTGGCGAATCGTAGCGACAACTGGAGCGAGCCAAACGGTCCAGCAACAGTCGGCGAATTTTGATGGTGAAGCAGGCCGAAAACAACCGATTTCCTTTCTCTATCTCGTGCACAAAGGCAAGCAAATCCGTTACTATCGAAAATAGAACTAAAATCGAAACTAAAATTTAAATCGATCCACCTGCGTCATCGCGTTATTAATCAACGAGACATGCTCGACGTGATCGAATTATCATTTGAAACCCTCGATTATTTATTCCTACGCGGTTAATTTCGATCGGGGAAATCGTCGAAGTTTTCCAATATATCTCGATGATTAAAATTCGAAATTTCCCCTCCTCCTCTCCGGATCCTCGGATTAATTAAACCGAATCAAAAGTGGGGATGGAGGGGGGGGTGGGTTGGAGTCGCATCCCGATTATTCGACGATATAACGAAATGCGCCGATACTTTAACCCAAAAGGGGATTCATCATCGTTAATGCCCGTGAATAATCAGGATCAATGGTGGCATGACTTATGAGATTATTTATTATGCATTAACCGTAATGGCGGGGGAAATATCCGTGAAACAGCGGGGCGATCCGTCCGCCATTTTGGGTTTTACCGACGCGTGCAATCAACTTAAAATTCATCATTGGACGGGGGCTATAAACCTTCCCGTTGTTGTTAACAACGGGGGAGGGAGGAAGGGAAGGGTGGAGGAGAGGGGAAGCGTGTTTAACGTGGCAAACGCGAAAGTAATTGTTTCGGATGTTGAATGAACAGAACGGTATGCGACGTGATTGATCTCCCGTGACCAAACAGTGTACTCTGCTTCCCTCCCTCCCTATTTTCTAGATCCGATGGATAATTCATGCCTCGGTAAAATTGCGCGAATAAAAGGGGATACTTGTCGTTCGATGATCGAATATACTTTAAACGTATAATTTAAAATTGATGATGATTACGAATGGAATGATTTATTTTTTATCGTTTTCGTTCTGCCTTCTAGATTCGATGGATAATTTATTTCTCGAATAAAAGGGGATACTTGTTGTTCGATGATCGAATTTATATAATACTTTAAATGTGTAATTTAAAATTGATGATGATTACGAATGGAATGATTTTTTTTTCTTCTTTTTAATCTACTTTCTAGATTCGATGGATAATTTATTTTTCGAATAAAAGAGGATACTTGTTCGATGATCGAATTTATATAATACTTTAAAAATATAATTTAAAATTGATGATAATTACGAATGGAACGAAATGATTTTTTCCTTTCTTCTTGTTTCGAGCTAATTTTCATTGTGACCAAGCAATGTATTTTGCTCTCTTCTTCCTTTCCTTTTATAAATCCATAGATAATTTATTTCTTGATAAAATTGCGATATTTTTTACTTATTCGATGATCAAATTTACTTTAAACGTATAATTTAAAATTGGTGATAATTACGAATAGAACGAAATGATTTTTTTCGAGCTAACTTCTATTTTGTGATCAAACAGAATTGAAAGTGTACTCTCTCTCTTCTTGCCTCTCTAGATAATTTATTCTTAGATAAAATTGCACGAATAAAGGGAATATTTGTTCGATGATCAAATTTACTTTATAACGTATAATTTAAAATTAGTGATAATTACAAATGGAATGATTTTTCTCCTCCTAGTTCTGGGCTAGTTTCTAAATTTTTATTTTCTTCTATTAAGTATTCTTCTATTAAATAGGTTTGTGAAATGATTTGATTGAAATGAAAGAATATATTTAATAAACTAAATGAAAATAAATTATATTACGTAGATGTGGGTCATGCCTTTGTTCTATTACACCGAGATCGCGATTCAAAAAAAGACAAAACTGTACCCAGTGACACACAATTCACGTATAAATGTACAATGAGTCGAATCTTTACATATATAAACTCAACACCTTCGATTCGTTTTATTCGTTGCGCGAAATTTTATTTTCTATCAAAGATTGAAAAATTTTAGGAAAAGGTTAATTAAATAAACTTCATAATTATTACGAGCAATTGAAATGAATTTATTTCATCGATAATGATCATTACCACTTAGAATTATGAATTACTTGAATTGACAAATTTTAAGAAAGGCTTAATGAAAATTTTTAAATAATTCCATAAAAAGAACTCGACTAAACATCGCTAAACATTCTGGACTAACCATTCTGAGCGATTCGTATTAGGAAAAGATTATGGAGCGAGAAAAAAAATACCCGTTTCGATTATCTCGAAGCAAACTCGTCAAACCGAAATAAACAATGACCAGAATCACCCACGTTCAAAGGCAATTATTTTTAACCCTCTACCATTCTTGCGCCACGTTGAACGAATCGATTGCATTTCACCAACGAGTCGTGTCGGATTCGATTATTTCTCGAAAGTAAAGTATCTGCGGCCCGTTTCAATCCGAGTGGAAAACATTTCGTAAGAGGCGTCGTTTTTAACGATCCTCGGTTTCCTTATCTCTTCGAGGCCAATGAGCCGCGCCTTCTAAAAAACCGAACAGTTGCTTTTGTCGCGATGGTTAACGAAGCGTGGACGAGGCACAAAGGGATTTTCCTCCGGATTGCTTCGTTTCGAAATACAACCCCTTCTCGAAGAGAGAACTTCACCGATTTTGCCAAACCGTAAATTATGCGAGTTATGCTTTTCGAGTGGTTTTTCGAGAAAGTAAAAAACTGTGAGAGGATTAACGAGTGGAAAATAGGGAATGTTTCCGTTTATTCGGAAAATATAGATGAAGATAAAGATGTTTTACTCGAGTTTCGTCGTTGGAACTTGGATAAATATTCGATGCAATTTTTTTTAATTTTGAGTCATGTGCGTGAGAATTAAATTCAATATCGAATCTTTTAGAGGATAAGACAAAGTGAAAGAAGTAATGTAGTAATATTATAAAAATATTAAATTTTTCATCTAAGTATACTTTTTATTTTCGACGTGTAAATAAAACATGGAACTGATTAAATCTTTTATTCATGAAATACGCGCATTTATGCGAAACAACGCCGGTATAGAATTCGAAATCTCCCTTCTATTTGGTTCGATAATAAACTAACGTGTGGTAAAGTTAGAAACCTTCGTTCTCGTGGAATATCGTGGGCTATACGTTTTCCCTCTCTAACGCGCAATAACAAAAAATATCGTACGAAACTTTTGTCCCATTGCCGATCGACCAAACGTCGAGTAGAAAATCGAAGGGAAATAACATTGTTTATAGAGAATAGTTTTCGTAACCGTGATTATGTAAACTGCAGTTCGTGCGTAAAGTTTAATGTCGGTTTTACTCGGATAAAACGATCCGAAAGTAATTTCCATTTCCGCGATAAAACTGGCGGCGGCGGGATATCGATGCGTCACGTTTTTTTTTTTTCTTTCTTTCTTTCTTTTTTTTATTACGATTATTATGGAAATTGCGATCAAAAGTTAATCCCCCCGTGCAATTCTAAAAATTTAGGAAACCGAATAATTAAATGCATTACTAAAATTCACGAATCCTCCGCGACTCAAAAATTTGTATCAA